AGCTCCAATCGTCAGGAATAAGTCAAGAGTTACATCTCAATTTAAGTTGAAAATCAATTCCGCGAAAAAAGCGTTCAGTCTCAATACCAAGAAATATTGTTTTTTTCACAGATTTTGACAAGCCGAAAGCAGACGGATATCTACCAAAAATGTTTTTGAATGACGCGCTTCCAGTACTTCTCATGAAATCTTGCCAGCCGATTGGCCAAAACCAACACTCAGTCGAAAGCGAAGTTGCGGGCTGCAGTGAACGAATGGGCGGGCATAAGAAACAGTTTGAATGTTCACCAATGTCAAATGATATTACAGCAGGTGCTATAAATGTTGCAAATATAAGCAGACCCTTGCCAGATTTCAATTTTGTCCTTCTAATATGTGGCATAATAGGCAATTATCATTTTCAAAGAGTTTTCTTCTCCAATCTTCCCCCTTTTGTTAGTATAGTTACCGTATCTGTTACATCAAAAATACATAGTACAGCACGTAAGTATATCGCTCTGGGTCGCGTTCTTGCACACTTTCCGTTAGTTTTCTCTTCATATTCCTTGATGAAAACTTCGAAATGCAAACCACCGGAAACATTTGCGGAGATAGCTTTCCTATGACTTTTTGACCGGCTTCACGCCATGTAATATTAACGCAATGACAGGGCGCACTTATGCTAATGTGTCTGTAGGACATAACTACTGCTAATCCGTGCGTTTTGTCAGGTTTCGCACGGATTTGCTAAGGGGGAATCAATTTGTATAATTTCGGCTCTATCATCATCATCCTCAAAGCGATTTCTTTAGCTTGGATTAGGAATGTGTCAGTCGAAATGCAGCTTCATATGCTCGATCCAGATATACACATGAAATGCTCAAACGAAATCAATTAGCTGAAGCAGGAAAACCTTATCATATTCCTAAAATACCAATAAGCTGCGATAATGAGTCTACTCGTCTACGCCCTAAAAGGGGTTTAATACCAGCCAGAATACATATGTAACATCTAGGATTTAAAGCCTGTGACGCAGATGTAGGCAGAGATTCTTACACTGCGCATGTTATCCGGTTATAAATGCATATAATGACCACATTTGAAGTCGGGTGCGGCCTATGTAACCGGATTAGTAGTTATATCAGTTACTATAATTCACCTCTACTTTGCCGTTGAATTTACGTGCGGTAGAACTCGTCAAGATTTGGGGTTGGTCCTATTCGATCTTCGTATTCCATGCGCAGGCCTCGATCGAGAAGGTTGGTAGAGTTAATGGTCAAACTGAACAGCCATCGAAGGTATTGAAATTCGCATATTTTGGCTAAGTCCGAAGTAGATGGTAAAGAAACGTGTGACCTACGTAAGCGAATAATAGTTAGACTACCACGAATTTTAAAACTCGAACAATAGTAGGTTCCCAGGTGGCTGTCTCAGGGCGAAGGACACCATCCACAAAAGTCATTCCTGTTTTAAATTATAATTTCACAACCTACAGTGACGTGCAGCATGCACGAATTGAAATTCACGACTTCGAGCAAATTGATATTTAAAAAATTACGCACTCACAGACCCTTCGCTTCGGCCCATCTGAATCAGGTAAACGGTGCCGTGACCGCCTTCTGAAGTATCTACTTTCTGTATTTTCTGCACGAGTTCTAGGATTTCATCCAGTAGACGGAAGGGTTGCACATCTGCCGCCGTAAACTCTCGTTCGCAAATGGGGCAACGAGATGGTGGGACCTTTTCGGTCACAGATTTAAGGCAACATTCCTTGGAGAAAAAATGTTCGCATGGTAGTATATATGGTGTTGTACAGGTTTCCAAACATATGGGGCACTCTATTAGACGAGATATTTAATCCGGTATCTCCACCATGCTGCTAATACTTTGAATGTGTAACCCTATCTGCTATTGCTCTTTTAGTATGTGCCTGATGACGAATCGGCGACAGATATCGAAACGTCAGGCGAATCGAAGTATTGTCCCAGCGATCGAGTCGTCTTCTCCTCCAATTACTTCCTGACACTCGCATGTTCGTTTGTATTGGCAATGAACAATTTGTCAGTCTTAATGTAAATACGCGCCTTAGGCTGGCTCGAGTTTTAAAACTCGTACAATAACGGGTTCCTCTATGACTGTCTTAGCGCGAATGTCAGAAGTTTCAGTATCCACAAAAGACATCTGTGATATAAATTATTATTTCACCATACGCAGTGACTTCGCATGCACGAATTAAAATTAATAGCCTCGAGAAAATGGAAATTACATGAATTGCACACTCACTGTCTTCTGGTCCGTGCACCCCTGGATCTGGGAACGATTGGCTGCTGATTCAAACATTTGCGGTATTTTTGGCACGAGATCCAGGATGTCATTCAGGAGACGGAAGGGTTGTGCCTCTGCCGCCGTAAACTCCCGTCTGCAGACCGGGCAACATAATGGAACCATTTTTGTCAAAGTTTCCAGGCAGGGTTCCTTACAGAAAAAATGCTCGCATGGCAGTCTATATGGTTTAGTACAGGTTTGCAAACAAAAGGAGCACTCTAGCAGGCGTGATATCTCATCCGGTAACTCCACCATGTCGCTTGTTCCGTGAATTCGTCGTTTTCACCGCTTTACGGTAGCAAAAGCGCGGGTGGGCGTACAAGCTTCCGTGAGCACAACCAATGCCAGTTACACAGATGATTTTGTAATGGCTTGTCGCATTTCTGCGCCTATCACGAATACTAGCATGCGCGCATCAGCTCTGTACAGAAGCCAGTCAGCATCAAGGTGTGAGTAGCACCTGCTCACGTGATACACCTTCCACACAGTGAACACTGAGCAACCCTGTCAGTCTTCCCTGACTTCTGCTTTGAAAAAACCTTCTGTGGTCGACAGATGTGCAATTGACCGATCAGGTCCATGCTTGAGGTGCGATGGCATTTTGAGCAGGATAGGTCGGGAAGTGCTAAATAAGAAGAGGGTTGCGTTACTGTAATAGTGATGAGAGCGTTTTAAACTAAACGAATTTGTTACGTGATTGTCAACAGTTATAAGTTATACATCAGATGCCTTCGCACCCGAAATGTGCGGTTGTATATTTAAGGTTTTCCTATGTCGACCGAAATCTTCTTGTGATTGATGCATTTTGAAGGAAGCACAAAGACTATGGAAGCCCCGATTTTAAGGGAATTTAACCGAGGACAGTTATGTGTTCCCTACCGGTCTACACTTACGTCAACTTATCTTTTTACGAAACCTGCTTGTTACAACTAGGTTCTATTATCGAGAGATCTCTGGCCAAGGATTTTCCCCACAGGTGAAATTTTGATTAAGAATATAAACATACCCTGACTGAAGCATTCGCGTAGGCTAGCTAGCATTGGACGCTACCAAGATCTCGAGATCGACGAAAAAATGTCGCCTCCCTGAGTAAGCGTCAATTCCATACTTTTTTCTAGTTGCAAGTTTGTGTGCCTTCTCTAGAGTAAAGTCCCCTAAGAGCAATGATTAACGATACCGCATAGATGTGAGTATGGAAAAAAAGCAGTAACCTTTTTAATGTTCCTCATCACAACCATTCTGTGCATAATCTCAAGCGTAGGCTGCGGACGATTGTCTTTGAGAAATTTTACGCCTGGTGTCCGAATAAGATGATGATATGTTGATAAGCATAAGAAACTGTAAGAAGTGAATCGATCGTAAGGCTTTTTCGTTAGAATGATCACAGCCAGACTTCGTGAGAACAAGCAAGCTTATGAATCATTGTGCTTACATCGAACTAAGTTAGTGCAAATCGGAAATTGTCACACCAACGTCAGGAGGTTATCCATTTGACAGTTACGACGGGCTATGTAGACGGATGGGCATATATATATATATATCATAGGTTTCCTTTGGGTTATAGTTTAACTAATTTTTGATACAATTAAATGCCACACTGTTTAACGCCAAGATGACTACGTTGCAGCTTCGCCGGGCAGAAGCAAAGGTGACCATGTCACGCGACAGGCATTTATTGTGGTGTAGGTTACGTTGCGTGGACCCTAACTTACCGCCGCATATGCGCATATTATGTGAGATTGGGGCAGAGATCACTGTTATCCGTCTGAAATCTAGCCAGTTGGCTGCTATAGGCAAGCCGGCAGTGCACAGGAGAGCGGAGAGGGAGGACAGTGCCGGGAACAACTTCACAGGGCAAAGGAGCGAATTCCCAGTTATCATATCTATGATGAATTAAGTTGTCTTATTTTTACGAACAATTTGAAGTCCCTACTGCATCACTGACTTCAACAATTAAGCTCCATTTGATAGGAAAGATGACGAAAAGGATGACGATGAATATCATCATGATGAAACAAAGGCCTATGTCTTCCTCCAAACAAATTAGTATCTGGCCTACAATGTCGACTAATGCTTCACCAGTTACAATGTGCATTTGCTTCCGTTCGGGCTTAAATAAAAAACATACGCGAATACTGTCTTCACTAGTTGGGCGTAATGAAAAAACCAAACATATTAGGAGCCATTAATTCAAACAGTTGAAGACCGGCAGTCTCGACTGGGCCCGCATCCACGATTGCAGCCTGACAACCGTTTCACAACTAT